GTTATTGATAAAAATTGATTTATATAGACTTAAATATAATTAATATGTATATTTAAATATAATTAATATTAAAAATATGTAATAAAGTTAAAAATAAAATTAATGCAAAAATTATGATCGCGACTTTATTACATACTGAATGTCTGACGGAGACTTTAACTGGAAACCTTCAATCATAATTTCATTGCGCTTTTGAAATTACTAGTTTTATATTGCTTTTCGCTCGCCTGATCATCTTCACACTCACGATTGATAACGTTGTTGCTGATTACAATAGCAATATCGTCATCGTAATGATGCTGCCCGAAAATCCCGATCGAATTGATGCTAGGAACGATAACCGTCATCATCCAGGCGGGAGAGGGTCCGCCTCAAACCGGTTGAGAATTACGACCTCGGAGCTGCTGGCGCGGGCGACACGCCTGGCTGGCGCTTGCGTAATCCTTGCGATTATTACGAGCGATCGTAAATCACGATGAATTTCTATCGGGCATACTTCATTTCTTTCGCCCACCTCTGCTTCTCGTCTCTCTTTGTTATTTTAGTATCTTATTATTTGCTAATTCGCCTGTGGCTATCCGCGTATTTGAATTTTAATGGCGATACTCAATCGTCGATTCTATTTTCTTACGCGGGGTAATGCTTCACAGCAATCGAATAATAGGAATAATATTTTTTTATTACTTAAAAAATAGAGAAAATGTTATGTACAAAGAATAAATTATATGCTCATACAGAAATGTAAGAGAAAAGAAATAAGCGAAAATAAAGTTTAAATATACAGCTTTACTATTTTAAATATTTTTTTTCCTATGCAGTTTCTTATGTTTTGAATAAAGTCATTTCTAAAACGTAATAAATCTTTCTCCATTTCACATCTTGTCTTCATCATTTTCTTCTTTATTTTTATTTATTTATTTATTTTTTTTTGTCTCTCAATGCCTTCAACTACGCCGCTTTGTCCTGAGTCGAATCCGTCATCGCGTACCATATTGACCCTCGCATTTAACCCGTATTGACCCGGTAATCTTAGCAAGCGTTACACGTGTGGACACGCCCTTGAAACGATAGGAAATTATTAATATCTTAAATCAGATTTCATTATATTCGTGTAGGCACTCTCGACGGGGCATTGCTCCCCGGAGTGTGTTACATATTTGACGGAGCAGAATCACGTAGGTAGATGTGTCATGTTCTTTACCAAATTGTAAATTATGAGGATAGTTTTAAAGTATAATGATACAGAAAATAGAGAAGGAAGAAAAAAGAAAAATTTCGAAAATTCTACGAGCTTAAGTAAATGATTCACGTTGACATACGCTAATGATTCTAACGACCTGCATATCATATTTCTTTCTCATGTTCCCTGATCGTCTTCTTAATGAGTATACATTCTGTCCAATGATCAGGTGCACATCTCCAATACGTCGATCATCTGTCGGTAACTTCCTCTCATAGGCGGTTACGACCTGAGCGAGCAGCAGCGTTTTGCCGATATTCCGGTTTGTCGCTCGTCCTCTCCTCTCTTATCTCTTCCTTGTTCCTCGATCTCATCTTTTATTCGCCGTACTAGCGCCGGGAATCGCGGATAAATGGTTAATTAACGACTCTCTCCATCTATCTCGCGCTTAGCCTTGGGTAATTGAGTGCTCGGGGATCACGTAGTTGTCTCTGGGTTTTACGTTCGTTCAGGGGGCTCTTGCATAAATTTGCATAATCTCGATCGTACACCCGCCTCGCCGCCTCCGTCGTATTCTCTTCCTCATTCTGTCCCTCTTCATCTTCACAATAGCGAAAAAAGAGAAGGAGGGAAATGGTGAGAGTCTCTTCCTACCTGGCACTCGCGAGCTCATCGTGAGTTCCCGTTGTCTTGTGTCATGATTGTCGTCATTAGTAGTAGTATCAAAAAACCATCTAATCGATTCTGCCCTGGGCATTGTCTACTAATCGCCATTTGTCTGTCTCGATGTTGCGAGTTAGTTCAGGCAACTCGTGAGGTAGAGAAGACATATCCTAGCGACGGATATCAGGCTCCTTTGTACTACTATATGGGAACCGTAACGTCGTTATCCTTTAACTCAGGATAGTTCTTGGACATTATCGTTCCATAGCCGGGACTACGAGTCACCACCGGTGTGTTATCTGCTTGTCTGGCGGACGTGGAATATTCACTCGCATGAATATTCCATTGGACGAGCATCGGGGTTGATGAGAGACGATACTCAACATTAGCAAATGTTATCGTCACTACACATGAATAATCTCCAGGCAAGATAAAAAATAGGTCACGCAAATGCGATTTCGCATTACAATTCTCAGATTTTTTAAGTCCAAGAATTCATCCTTATGGCAAATAACAATGTGATATCATCATCTCAAGGAAATATACTGAGGAGATCAATCTGAACGAATGAGATTTAAGATTCTACCAAAGATACTGATTACAAAATTTCTTGTTATAAAATAGGTGCATGGATATTTTTTATTTTATGTAAGGACCTCAGAATATTTACAAATTAATTACATAATAAAAAACATTGTTTTGTTAAAACCAATCCTTATTAAAATGTTTGTGTTAAATTGATATTCACAGTATTTTTTTATGTTAAAATAACAATTTATAAGTGAACAAAAAAAATAACGTAAATTTAAAAAAAATAACATAAATGTAAATCCTAAGATAAATGAATAAAATATGTGCATTATAATTTAATATATTATAAATGTCAATTTTACTTAAGAAATATGTTTCACAATTTTTTTGCAAATTTTATATAAGTGTTATAATTTTGCGTTAATTGCATAATATTTATGTTACTTTCTATCATATTTATCTTGTATTAAATTAACACAAAAATTTGGGTGTAACTTTTGGGACATGTAAAGTATGTTAAATTTAACATAAATTTTTGTAATTATGTATTAAAATTAGCATGTAAATAATAAGGGATCTTTTTATTTATGAAATAACGAATCGTTTCGTGCAAAATTACGTACATGACAATGAATTTCCTGTGAACGTATCGCCATTTTGCTGCATAATATTTATTAACGACCGTATCAAATATTTATTGAAGAGAGTAGTGAGCATGTGCTTGATGATACTTTATCGCGAAAGGGACCGCAAGTCTCTCTTCTTCGGTGACAGCGGCAACGGGATTTCTCAATGCGAGAGTAGCAGGAAGGAAGCGAGAACCGCTTCTTCCACTTGGAGTTTTACGATCGCGTGGCCGCGTTGCGATCGTTTTACGACGCGAGTCTCTCTCTTTCTTTCTCGTTGCAACCGATCTGCCTCATGACCGACCGGTCTTGTCCTCGTTGCATTCCCCCTGACCTCCATCTTTGCCCCTCACCTCTGTCGTTTTTTCCACTCATCCCGCTGCCTTTTACGACCATACTAATTTATACTGTGATACGCCTGGACGAGCCGTAGCTTTGCCGTCTTCCCCGATATCAAACATCTAGCACCCAGTGCAACACGCTGGTTTCTCTGCAAAAAGCACAGTCTATCTCTTCTGAATCTCCCAACTAGTCCTGTATTCAGAT